GTTTCTTTTTCTTTCCTTTTCTTTCTTTCTTTCTTTTTTTTTTTTTTTTTTTTTTTTTTTTTTGTTTGTTTGTTTGTTTGTTTTTTTCAAGATAGGGTTTCTCTGTGTAGCTTTGCGCCTTTCCTGGAACTCGCTTGGTAGTCCAGGCTGGCCTCGAACTCACAGAGATCCGCCTGTCTCTGCCTCCCGAGTGCTGGGATACGTGATTAAAAAGCAACCTCGGACAAGCTACGGTACAGAGGGCAAAAGTACTTGCTGTACAGTCTGACTACCAGGGTTCAATCCCAGAACCTCCGACGGAAGGAGAGATCTGACTCCTTAATGTGTCTTCCGATCTACACAGATGCCCCGTGGCACACCCCTGCCACTCCAGTATCGTACACACACATATTCCCCACCTGCCAGCAGCAGCAGCAACAACAACAAATTGACAATTAAAAAAAAAAAAGAGCGAAAAATGCTCCACAAATTCAGCCAGATGTAGTGGCTTACACTTAATAATGGTAAAACCTAGCTGTTGGAAGTCTGATGCAAGGGGATCAACACCAATTCAAGGCCAACCTGGTCTACCTATCAAGTCCCAGGCCAGCCTGGGCTACAGAGGGAGACCATGTCCCAAAACTCCACCAAACCGGGGCTGGAGAAATGGATTAGCAGTTAAGAACACTTAATTGCTCTGACGGAGGCTCTGGGTTCAGTCCCCGGCATCCACATGGGGCTCACAACCATCTGTAACTCCAATTCCGAGGCATCCCAGTGTCCTCTTCTGGACTCCTTGAACACAAGACTCACACGTGGTGCAGAGAAACATGCAGGCAAATCACCCATCCAAATTAAAAAAAAAAAAGCCACAAAAACATAGAAAACCACAAAAATTCTAAACTTTAATTTTTTGGTTGTGAGCCTACCCTTTAACGGCTGAGCTGCCCCTCCAGCCTTAAACTTTAATTTTTTAAGTGAGGTGTGGCAACTGTTTCCCAAATGTGCTCTTTTCTCTTAAAAGCCGGCAGCAACTGGGTGTAAGGAATCCATAGCAGGTGGATCTCCACTCAAGTTCCTGTTTCTTTCTCCTCAACTACCTTGCCCTTGTCACGCTCCCACCCACCCACAACACAGTAGACACGAGCTGATTCGCCCTTGAGGGCTGAGGCAGAAGCCGGGCCCTGCTGGCTAAATGGATGTTCCCTACATTCTCCTCTAAACCTCGTCCTCGAAGCTGTTGACCTCTGCATCCCAACACTTTCTTTAGACCCTGCACCTACCCAACACTCGCGGTTTATCTCACTCAACCTGGAGCTGGTTTTCAGGCCACTGAGGGCACCCCGGTCAATGGATATCAAAGACTTCTTCTTTTTCCCCTCCCGACCCTTCCCTGGCACTAATCTCATACTTCCCATATGTTTTCCAAGATACCAGTGGCTACCCTTTGGGCAACTTCTCTGGGTATCTCCCAAGCTCAGAGTTTCCGCTGTTTGCTCCAGACAATACCGCAGGGTAGGGATGCGATGATAGGGACCAGCAGCTGGAAGCAATGCTTCCTGCTTCCCAGGGAGGGCCCCTCACTCAGCTTGCTGATGCAGACAGGGGTGCAGGCCGCAGCTGACTCTTCCATCAAGTCGCACCTTAGTTTGGAGGGCTTCTTGGTGGCGTCCCAACTTCTTAAGTATTTTTCCATCTCACGGCACCAACTTTTTTTTTTTTTTTAGATTGCAAGTCAATTATTTGCCTGTAACTGGCTAAAAAAATAGCTCCAGGCAACTTACATAATACACGAGTGTGCTTTCTATCTCTCTCTCTCTCATTGGTCAGAGAGTTATATTGTAAAGATAGGGTCTCAGGACATAGCCTCAAACTCACAAATTTTCCTTCTGCCTCAGCCTCCTGAATGCTGGGATTCTAGGCTTGTACCAACACTCTAGACTAAAATAAATGTCAGTGTTCCAGTCACCACTGATGTCCCCCGACAGAAGGAAGTGGGAAAATGATTCAGGAGAAGGATCTGGGTGGACTCTGAACATTGTCTTTATTCAGCAGTACGTGGACACGAATGCCTGCTCAAACAGCCACTGATTGGCAAGCACCACTGTATACGTGGGCATTCTGATTGGCGAGCACCACTCTATACGTGGGTGTTCTTTCAGTTGTTTCCATAGGTGACCTTTGATGCGTTCCCAAAGCAATTCCCGGAGTTAGACATTGGTTATCACTAAGCCCATTTCACAGAGGAAGATGCTAGGCTCAGAGACCGTTAGTAGCTCTTGAAAGACACAAGGTAATCAGAACACCTGGACTTGGCTCACCCGGCTCATGCTCTTCATCACTCTGCTGTCCTACTCCCCAAATTACTGGCTGTGACCTCCATAGCTGCCATCTTGGAACCAGAATATGTGAGGCCCATTCTCTCCTCTGTTTAATAGTCTTTAGCCAAGTTGTGTTACCCCTTTGGGCCTCAGTCTTCTTGTCTGCAAAAGGGGGTCTCACCTGTCTGCCGTAGTCCGAATGTCTGTGTTCCTCTCGCAGTCACCGGTGGAAGTATTTATTCCCATGGCAGTGGGAGGTCGTAATCATGGGGCCCTCAGGAGTAGGATTAACGCTCCTGTAAGAGAGCCTGGAGAAACCCCCACCCCTTCCTCCGTGTGAAGTTAGACTGAGGTGTCAGCTGCGTATGAGAACGTGGGCCCTTATCGCAGACGGCATCTGCTGCCGCCTCCGTCTTGCATGAGAAACACATTTCTGTGACTTAGAAGTTCCCCGCGCTATGGTCTATTGCTACAGCAGCTCTAGCAGCCTGAGACACCAACTCAGTAGCTCTGTAGTGAAGGCGAAAAGACGTGAGATGAGAGTGGTCTGGTCCCATTCTGCTTTGGGTCTGGGTGGCCATCCTCTAACTGCTGCCGACAGCCTTAGCTGGTCCCAAGATGGCAGCTATGGAGGTCACAGCCAGTGATTTGGGGAGGTAGGGCAGCAGAGTGATGAAGAGTATGAGCTGGGTGAGCCAAGTGCATCCCCCACCCCCCAGCTCAGTTCCATCCTTAGCTCCCAGCCTCCAGCCCCCAGCCCCCAGCCTCCAGCCCCCAGCCCCCAGCCCCCAGCCCCCAGCCT